ATATGATGTAAGGGTGTGTTTCTATTCTGTTATTAATGCCTTAATTTCCCTTGTTTTCCTCCTTCATTTAGAGAATACAGTTAAATGTGAAGATAGAAGGGAAAGGGGTAGAATTAGAAGTTACAGCCCATTCCATTAATTTTGTAATTATATTTTTTTCTCAGTGTTTTTCAGTGGCATTTACCAGTATGGGTAAGATTAATTGTTACAATACAAACCAATTTGAAAATTGGTTTTTAAATTGAGCTATAATATATAAAATCTTACAGTAATGTGCAAATCAGACTATATTCAAGTACAATTTTCATACCCAAACCAATTGTCTTGTAATAATCGAGAATGCATCCTCTGTGTGGTGTTTGCAATTTAATGCTATTTTAGAAATCACACCAGTATATCGAGTGGCTTTCCTGGGTATATGTTGCTTACTATTGATTATAATTTTATTTTGGAGTTTTAGTTTAAGGGTATGGGGTAAGCCCCTCCAAATTCTTAGTTGTTAAGAGTTTTAATGGAAGATGAAGATGAATGAAAGGCATTAGAATGAATAACAGAAAAGGAAGTCAGACAGTCATTAATCAAGTACATACTGCAAAAATAACACAGCATCTAATAATATAAAATGAAAGAGACAAAGCATTCAAAAGAGGAATGCTTTAAAAGCTTACCAATGAGAATTCATAAGTATAAATAAATAAGTATATTTTAGTAAAAAAGTGGAGATCTTACAAGTGGCATCAGTATGGCTGAAAGTGTATGAGCCATCTACCTCTTCTGAAGCGAAGGCAGAGGAATGACAGGCTGTCTTCCAGTGTCTACTCTATTTTCTTCCATTATTTCCTTTTTTCTCTTTTGTATTTTCCTTCTCCGTTTTAAAAACTCTTCTTCCTCTCCCACTTTTCTCAAATTCAATCCCTTCTTCAGAGTGAGACTTTGTTCTACCCAGCATACACAAAACTTAAGGCACTTGCTTAATAATATATATTGTTTCATTAATAATGAGAGAAACTCAATAACAATGAGTTTCTTTTACATTAAGGATTTTAAATAAATATAGAAGATTTTATGGTTGAGAGAATGTCACTAGAATGTAAAGGATTTTTGTCTCTTTTGCTCATTGCTCTATCCCTAGTGCCTAGGACAGTGCCTCCACAAGGAGGATACTCAATAAATACTTGTTGAATAAATGACTAAAACATTAGACATTTTAAGTATCATCTACAAACAAAAATTGTGTTTTTTTGTTTCCAGTGTTGAGCAGTAATATAAGTAGAACAGTGGTTCTCAAGGGGGAAGAAACTTTAAAAAACAATCCTGCTCTCCCTTATTCTCTTTTTCCTGCTGCCTTCTCACTGTATGAGAATCTCTGCTACTGAGAACCACTGGATGAGACTAAAATTAATACAAATAGTTCTAAGGAAATATAGAGGTAAATAGTAGATTTACATTGTCAGGGTAAAAGGGAGAAGGAAACAACAAATTCAAAGATATGGGAATAAGATGGGTATTTGAACAAAATATTAAGGTAGTTAAATAGAGTGTCAGGGCCAATTGAAAGGACAGAGAAGGTAAGTTGATGTAGGCAGTGAGGAAAAATCAGATTAATAGAATGCTTGGATTTCATACAATAGTTGCAGGGAGCTATTATGAATTATTGATGACAGTGACATGATAAAGTGAAGGCAATTCTAATTAGCTGCTGTTGGTAAAATGGATTGTATCTTGAGTTGAAGAAACATTGGAAACTGCATAAAGTTAGGAGATTGTTGTAGAAGTGCAGAGCATTTTAGCTTTTGTGGTTGGTAAGTTATCCAGTGATGCCTTTAGCAAATACCGTTTTTTTTGAAGTCTGATGTCTCCACTTTATGACCTGGGGCTGGACAGAGGCAGAAGGAAGAATTCTGAACTAAGAAGCAATAGGCCAGAGTTTTAGTTACTCCTCCTCTACTTTCTAAATTCATGGTCATGGATAAATACCTAATTTCTCCTGGGCATCAATCAACTGAACTGAAAAATAAGAAAATAATGATTTGAAAGCAGGAGTCTAGACCATTTTTTGGAGTCTTTTGCAGCATACTGTCTTTTTATCAGTTATAGATAGTGAACAATGAATACCATATTTTGTATGCTTAATATTAATTTCTACAACTAGAGTGTTTCAAGAAGAAAAAAAGCCCCATGATGATAGTAAATATTTCAAAACTTGTAATTTAGTAAGTTTAGTATTATGTGCACTGACTGCTATTTTTTTTAATGTTTTCCAGTTTTTATATGTACTATGGTCAGGTATTTTTGTTTTTTAGTATTATTACACTGTAAAAACACCCAAGTTGATGGAGTTTAGCCTAGGATACTTTCAGGGAAACCTGAAGAATGTAAAAACTCTTCTAAAAGATAGTGTTTTATAAAGCTACAGGAGCAATAATACTAATATTGTTTAATTAGTAAAACTAGAAATTGTAATATCTTTTTTTTTTTAGCTACTGAATATATACTATATTGTATATATATACACACACGTATTTTTTTGTTTTGAAGGTTTTAGTACCAGCAGCTTTTTGGGTTCTTTTTCTCTCCCTGTTTTTCCTTCTTTCTTTGTTGTTTTTTTTTCTGTTTGAGTTGTTCCTTGCCTATTCCCTCTACTCCTGTCCCCCCCTTAACCCATCTGGAAAGATGAAGATGCAGCTGCTGTGGTAACTATGCATTTTGGTTAATGAATAGCAAGCAGACTAACAGGGTACATAAAACATATGCAAACTGCGGAGTTAGTTGCTGTCAAAGCTCTAGGGGCATAATAAATACTTTTCCTTTTCCTTCTCCCCACCTTCTAAAAAAACCTGTAACTTTCCTGTGATACTTTGTTTTCTAATTTACCATTTCTAATATTGAAATGCTACCATGAATTACTCCTTTTTTTCTGCTTAGTCTGAAGAATATTTTACACTGTGGTGAATTTATGGGGGATGAGTTGAGTTGCATAGAGGAAAAGAATTGAATACTTGGATTAAGAAGTAGATTTCCTTTAAATTCATGCATGGAAGAACAGGGACAAAAATTTTTACTGAATATTTAGTTTTTTGACCTGTAACTTTTTTTTTTCTTGCTTTTTGGCCACTAGTGCCCCTTTTGAGTTTTTCTCTGGGGTTAGAACTAGTAAGTAGTATGTTTCTTGAGGATGTTTCTGTCATAAAGGCCAGCTGCAACTGGAATATTATATTCAGCCAAGCTTTGAAAAGTCCTGTAATCTGTGCCATCCTGTCTCATACTGTCCCATCTCATAGTTGTCCTCTCTCTGCAGTGCTCTATGCCCAGGTCTCTGTGGCTGGGCTGCTCCAGCCTGGCGGACAGCATGCCTTCGCTGCGATGCCTGTATAACCCAGGGACTGGCGCACTCACAGCTTTCCAGGTACTTTCTCTGTCTCTGTGGGTTATTTGCGGGCATTAGTATGTGTCTGATTCATTAGTGCGTCTCTTCTTCTTTTCCATGCTTTACTTAACTTTACTTTTTCTCCTTCATATTGCCTGTATTTCACATCACTCAATTCTCCTTTAATTTTTAATGTAGATGCAGACTGATTGACTCTTAAGACATCTTATTTTTATTATCACGATTGGTTTGCCAAAACTGACACAGCACAATTTGACTTGTTGGTTTTCAAATCTAGTAGAAGTATGATAGTGAACTTTAAAGTAATCTCATCAAATAACATTCCATATGTAATGTTTGTAATGTTTGCTCTGGACCTACATAAAGCCAATTAATGTAATCAGTCAATCAATTATAACCAGTTGCCTGGGTACCTTCTTATGTTTTTCTTATGATTATTTAGAATATAAACTGCTCAATTCAGAGTGTCTCTTGGTTACTATACTACTATCTGTGTGTGTGTGTGTGTGTTTTACATAAATAAGAACTGTGTTTCTGTATATCTTGATTAACAGGTCTAGTTTCAAGGTAGAAAGGCCTTCATGACCTTTGAATATAGCACTCAGCTTGAGACAGTACAACTGGTCTCCCATGGACCATCAGATTCTAACTCTCTTCAGCCTTTATTAGAGGCCATTAGAAAAATTCCAGGATGTGAGAGAAAAACTATAGAGGAAGGGAGGAAAACTTGTAGAGGAATATGTAAGAAAATGCTTGGTGCCCGTTGTTTACAGATTAGGGTATCACATATGGTGATTTTCTTGGCAGAATTGTTACCTATCCATCTCAGGTATTTGGAATTTGTGTTTAGCATTTGATAGTAATATATAACAAATTACTTTTTGAAATTTGTTTTTTAGCTTATGTAGCTCATATTCTATTTAGGAGAATTTCAAAGACAAGCTGTAACCAAGCATCATAACTAAGCGCGTGTGTGTGTGTGTGTGTGTGTATTTATTGAAGAATAGTCAGTTTACAATGTTGTGTCAGTTTCTGGTGTATATGACAAAGTTTTAAAAGAGGGGAGCTTAAGTATTCCACATTCCTGAGCAGTGCTAACAGTTGTCTTTAATGATACTATTTTAGAGATGCTGCTGCTGGATATTTGTCTTTTGCAAAATACAATATTAATCTTCCTTTTTAGTCTTATGAGATACAATATAGTAAAGGGTGTAGGCTTTAAAATTAGTTAAATCGGGTCTTACATACTGTCTGTCACTTGTGTGATCTTGAGCAAGTCATTTCACTGAATTCGCCTGTAAATGGAGACTGTAGTAAGGGCATGCAGTAAATTATTGCTGTTTTTATCATCCTCATCTTCATCATTAACATTATTGCTGTTATTGTTAGAGAATATTGATATTCTGAGAGTATCAATTTATTTCAAACTTTTTTTTTAACTATGTATCATATTGAGTAAGTTTTGGCTCTCAAGGAACTCATAGTCTAGCCTTTTTTTCTTTTTTTAATTTTTTTTGGGTTGTGGTGAATTTAGCTAGACTGCAGAGTTGGAGAGAATAGTCCCTGCAAGACTGCCCTCACTTTAGACATCCATTGTAAGGAGCCCCTACCACCAACCTCGGGTGTGATAATTCACTAGAAAGGACTCAGAGAACTCATTGAAAGCTAATATGTTCATGGTTTATTACAGGGAGAGGATGCAGGTTAAAATTAGCCAAAAGAAAAGACTTACAGGTCAGAATCCAGAGGGAACCAAATGGAGAAATTCTTGCCATCCTCTCCCCGTGGAATGATGGATGGCATTATTACCTCCTGGCCACAGTATATGACAATGCACACAGAGTATTGCTGGTATTGCCAACAAGGGAAACTTACCGAAGCCTTGTGTGTCCAGAGTTTTAACTAGGGCTCAATTACAAACTTCCCACATGGTTGACTTTTAGTCTCTAGCCCCTCCTTGTAGGTCACACTAATGCTTTCAGTCTCCATTTCTTCTCAGGATTGGAACTGATAAAAGTGTGGCTCAGAGCCCCCATTGTGAATCACGGTACTCCCAGGCAAGCCAAGATGTCCTGTTAGGTAAGAAGTTCCAGGGATCTAGCTACCACTAGGGCAAAAGCCAGACCTCTCTTTGGGTAAGGTTAATTCTTCAGGACACGAGGGTCCTAGACTTCTTTGAGAATCTAATGAGAACTGTTGATCTTAGAAAAATACATATGACACATAGGCAAAATTTTTATAATAGTTTTATATATACTATTATTATATTTGTATTCTCTTGTGAAATGAGAGAGAGCTATTAAATTACATAATCCCAAAAGTATAATCTCCCAAACTGATAAATTCTAATAAAGAAATGTGCTCTAAGAATATAGAAAAGAGGAACCTGATCTAACCTGAGGGTAGGGGTAAGGAAGGTCAGATAATCAATGTTTAAGATCTGAAGGATGAGTAGGGATTAGGCAAAGGGAGGAGGGAGGGAACATTATAGGCTAGTGTAACTACCTCCTGCTCCTTCCCCAGAACAGGTCAGTTTGGTGTATTTAAGGACCCTCCTGAAAAAAAGCTATTGTTTCGGAGAATGAGGAGAATGGAGTTAGGAAAGACTGGGGAAGCTTGATCCAATAAAAATGGGCAATTAGTGAGCAAAAAATTTGAATGGATATAATACCAAAAAAGATACACAAACAGCAAATAAGCACATTAAAAGATAGTCACAGGGAAATGCAAATTAAACCACAGAAAGATAGTACATTTCTACCCACATACTTCTTCCCACCCTGGAATGTGGGGATGGGAATTCAGTACTCCCTAGTAGTTATTATATCTTAGCTTAATATGAGAAATGTTATGCTAGAAAATTCCTTAAAAGCAGAAGCAATCTCTTATCCATTAACTTCCACACTTACCCTGTGGGGTTTTTTTTTAGTAGCTAAGGCTCAATAAATACTGATGATTTGAACTATATTAGATAACTGGTGAAGATAATCATTTGCACTTTAAAAAGTGTACAAGTTAAAATAATTTGACCTGGACACTAAGATACCAAGAATAATTAAAATTTTCATTTGGCCTAAAACAGTCTTAAATCTAAGGTCAATAGGAAATAATTGTGAACAAATTCACCAACAGTCTCAGGACTTTCTCTAGTCTTAGTCAGAAATCAACAAATACTATTTTTAAAAAATATATTGAGTCCCCTTATAAGTTACTATACTTCTAGAGTATATTTGGAGAAAGGTTGATTTAGAGATTTTGCTGGAAAATTGACAATAAGTTTGGTGTGTGGGCCTTGAGTTGTATTGCAGGAATAAAATTGTGTGACATAGGCAGAAAAGAGATGTTTAAAAATGTCTTGGAAAAGAAGCCCAGTGGCCAGTATACCATGTAGTGGTTAATGGCCTATGGTGTTGGGAGTTTGGAGAAGAGGAAGGGTTTATTGCAAAGGCCAAGTGAGGAGAATGGGCAGCTCTTGCTCAAAATAACCAGAACTCTCCAGTGGTTTTGGGGGAAGAGTTTTTGTAGGTGAAATTTAGGGGTGGGTAGGAGGGCTACAGAGTGTGAGACTTTCCTCTGGTTGGTTGGTGGTGTGATGGCAGGGTGGTGTTCCAGAAATCTCAACCATCAACCTTCTGGTTCCAAGCAGTCTGGGGTCAGGTGATTATGCTCATCTTGAATTACAGACCTCCACCTGGGTGGGCTTTAGTTCCTGTAGGAGAACTCAGAGATAAGTATCAGATTGTTGTGTATATCCCTTGGGGAGGAACCAGGACTCTGCCCCAGGCTGCACCTTTTGTTTCTTGACTGCCTTTCCTTTTTTTTTTTGGTATTCCCTCAGTTCCTTAATTAGTAACTGAATCTGCCCTTTGGAACTCAGGGAAGGTCTAGGAGGCTGAAGCCCTTTTTCCTGCAAACAAGAAATTGGGAACACAGAAAGGCTTTTGTACCTGGGAGGGGCCCCCAGGATCCTGCTCAGTTTCACCTTGGAGCCAGACTGCTTGAGATTTGAACCTGGTTCTATCTAGGTATGACCTTGGGCTAACACTTTACCTCTCTATACCTCAGTTTTCTTATCAGTAAAATTAGGATGGTAATAGTATCTACCTATAGGGTTGTTGTTAGGATACAATGAGTTGATTTATCTTAAATCCTTAGAACAGTGTCTGGTAGATTAATAGTTCTATATTCTCAGAAAAATCCACAGAAGACTAGGTTTGGAGGCTTTCAGCAAATAGTTTCACCTTGGTAACTACTAAATAAAATTTTATTTCTTTCATACCTTATAGCTCAGTCTTGTATCATAGCAAAGCCTACTGTTGGTTAAGGTATTGATAAGAAAAGTTTGCTTTCCCTAACATTACTTTAAGTATTGTTTTTCTTGTCTTATGTCTGAAAGAGATCATTAAGTCATTAAGTCCTAGGTAGCAAAAAATGGAAAGAATGAGTTTATGTGTTGGTTTTATTCCAACAACTTGTTCTATGTCAGGTTCAGTGTACACAGGTGCTCAATAATTGCTGATTGACTAATTGGCAGATTCAGGACTTAAGTCTAGTCTTTACTGTTTCCACTACTAGAAGTACAACAATCTTAGTACGTTTTTATCTTTTTGGTTTGGGTTTTACCTTACTTGCTTATTTAGATTTTTGTTTATGTAAAAATTATATACAGTAAAATACACAGATCTTAAGTGTATTCTCAGATGAATTTGACAAATGTATACTTTTGGGTAACCTTACTCTCGAGATAAAGAGCATTTCCATAATCTGAGAAAATTCCTTTGTACCCGCTTCCCGTTTTACTGTATCCCAAATATAATCACTGTTCTGATTTGTCACGGAAGACTAGTTTTGCCTATACTTGAGCTTCATATAAATGTAGTCATATAGTATACATTCTTTTGTGTCTCTTTTCTTTTGATCAACATGTTTTTGAGATTTATCTACTTTGTTAGTTTAACTTACTTTTTTATTGCTAAATAAAATCCACTGCATTAGTAAACCACAATTTGTTCTTCCAT